TGCTTCACCACCGGGTGGGGGAAGGTCAACGGAGGGAGCGTCCCTGACTTGTTGCAGGAGGGTGGGGTGACCACTTGGACCAATGCAGCTTGCCAGGCTCAGTGGGGCATGTCAGGGATGACGATCACAGATGACATGCTGTGCGCGCAGGGCTCCAACGGTGGTCTGGTAACAGACATCTGTCAGGGGGACAGCGGAGGGCCGATTGTCTGCGCTTCAGGCGGCACCTACTTTCTTCACGGCGTCGTGTCGTGGGGACCTGTATCGTGTGGCATTCAAAATTTCCCTGGAGTCTGGAGTCGGGTCACTTATGCAAGGGATTGGATGACTGGGTTGATGGGGGACTTGACGGTACCCCCGACGCCATCGCCCGCACCTACGGTTGCGCCTACAGCAGCGCCGACTGCTCTCCCAACAGCAGCGCCGACAGCTGCGCCGACTTCGGCACCAACGGATGCGCCGACCGCATCCCCAACAGCAGCACCGACAGTAGCGCCGACTGCCCTCCCGACAGCAGTACCGACAGCTGCGCCGACTACGGCACCAACGAAAGCGCCGACCGCTTCCCCTACATCAGCACCGACGGCTGCGCCGACTGCATCACCGACCGCTTCCCCAACAGCAGCACCGACAGTTGCGCCGACTGCAGCACCGACGGAGGCGCCGACTTCTTCCCCCACAACGGTACCGACAGCTGCGCCGACATCAGCACCGACCGCTGTTCCAACAGCAGCACCGACCGAGGCGCCGACAGCTGTGCCGGCTTCCCCAACAGCGGCACCGACAGCCGCGCCGACTGAAGCACCAACGGCAGCGCCGACCGCTTCCCCAACAGCAGCACCGACAGCCGTGCCGACTGCGACGCCAACGGAAAGGCCGACCGCTTCCCCAACAGCAGTGCCGACAGTTGCGCCGACAGCAGCACCGACGGCTGCGCCGACTGCAGCACCAACGGGGGCGCCGACCACGCCGCCACCGTCGCCAGCGCCGCTGTGCGGCGAAAAGGGTCTGGACAACACTCCCTGGGAGACGCAGCGCGGCCAGCGCATTGTGGGAGGGCAAGCCACCACGCCATGCGAGTGGAAGTGGCAGGTCTCTCTGGCGGCCTCTTGGGGGCACTTCTGTGGAGGAGCACTGATTGCTCCCAACTGGGTCCTGACAGCTGCTCACTGTGTGGGTAGCTATAGCTTCTCAATCGTAGCGGGCAGCTACCACAGACTTTCAGCAGATTCGAGCCAGGAGGTACTGCAGGTGAAGCAAGTGTTCTCCCATCCAGAGTATGACAGTTCGACGATGCGATTCGACTTTGCCCTCGTAGAGTTGGTCGGTGAGGCGTCCTTGAACGAATGTATTGGGGTAGCATGCTTGCCAAGTGAGGCGGTCGCGGACGGTGAAGAGTGCTTCATCACTGGGTGGGGGACCCTTTCCTCTGGTGGGGCATCCCCTGACTTGATGCAGGAGGCGCAGGTGAGCATTATCAGCAACTCAGACTGCAGCGCGGCCTACGGCCAATCGCAGATCACCGATGACATGTTGTGCGCCCAGGGCGTCAACAGCGCCGGGGACGTTACCGACGCCTGCCAGGGGGACAGTGGTGGACCTCTCGTCTGTGCTTCTGGAGGCGCTTCCTACGTCTTGCACGGAGCCACGTCGTGGGGCTACGGGTGCGCAGATGAGCGGTACCCCGGAATATGGTCTCGGGTCAGTTACGTGCGTGATTGGATCGACGAGTTGATGGGGGCGACTGAGGCCCCGACTCCGTCAACTCCAGCACCTCCTCCAACGCCTTCTCCTGACCACATGTGGGCGGACGTCGTCGGCCAGTGCACGCTGGACGGCGCGTGTGTGCAGAGCGAGAATTATCCGCAGCCGTACGGTAACAACCAGATGTGCACGATTACGATCGACGCGTCGAACGCAGCACCGATCGTCGTCGAGAGTTTTGACGTTGAGTCGTATTTCGACTACCTCATTGTCGACGGAGGGGACAGGTATACTGGAACCTCAGGTCCCTCTGGGGTCACCCCAGCGGAGACTGTGCTGTGGTCGTCTGACTTTTCCGTAACAAGGAGTGGATGGAGAATTTGCATGCCGGCATCAACACCTGCACCCCCTCCGACCGCAGCACCAACGCCTGCGCCGACCGTTTCTCCAACTGCCAGGCCGACTGCAGCACCGACTCTTGCACCGACCGCTTCCCCGACAGGTGCACCGACAGCCGCACCGACAGCATCACCGACCGCTTCTCCAACAGCAGCACCACCGACAGCCGCACCGACATCAGCACCGACCGCATCCCCAACAGCAACACCGACAGCTTCGCCGTCTCCTGCGCCGACTCCTGCGCCGACCGCTGCGCCGACGCCTGGCTCTGCGCACATGTGGTCGGCCATCTCCGGTGCGTGCACGCTAGACGGCGCATGTGTACAGAGCGCGAACTATCCGCAGCCGTATGGCAACAACCAGATGTGCACGATTACGATCGACGCGTCGAACGCAGGACCGATCGTCGTAGAGGGCTTCAATGTAGAATCGTACTTCGATTACATCATGATCGACGGATGGAAAGTATATACTGGAACTTCGGGTCCGTCTGGGTTCACCCCTTCATCCAGTATTATGTGGTCGTCCGACTTTAGCGTTACGAGGAGCGGGTGGAAATTCTGCATGCCAGTGTCAACACCTGCACCCCCGCCGACAACAGCACCAACGCCGTCACCGACCGCTGCACCAACGGTTGCCCCGACAGCTGCGCCGACTCTTGCGCCGACTCCTTCGCCGACTGCTGCACCGACGCCCGGTTCCGGCAGCATGTGGGCTGCCATCTCCGGCCCGTGCGTGCAAGACGGCGCATGTGTGCAGAGCCCGAACTATCCGCAGTACTACAGCAACAGCCAGCAGTGCACGATTGAGATCAACGCGGCGAACGCAGCTCCAATCGTCGTGGAGTATCCAGCTGCCTGCGGCAAGTGCCCCCGCCGCACCAGTCCAGCACTCTGGGCGGCGTTTGTTCGAGGAGCGCTCAGGAGGCCGGCGATCACGCGAAGCATATTACAAAACCTCAGCATATTACAAAACCTGGCCTCCCACGGGTCTTCTTGAAACCAGCTTGTGCCGTCTTCGGGGCCTGTTGTGGCCAGCCAGGGACGCCTTGTGGCCATCTCGGGCCGTCGTGGCGGCATCTTGGGGCCATCTTGGCGGCCTCGGTGGCCTTCCTCGGTCGTGCGTGGACGCGCTGGAGAGCCCCGGGTGGCGCCAGGGAGGCGCCAGAACGCCAGGGCAGCCTCGGGACGGACGGGGCGGTGCACGCAGCCGTTCTGCTGCTGGGAGGGGGATGGGGGGCCCGCTGGAAGAGCACAGGAGCTCCACCAGACAGCACTTGGCGTAAGTCGGCCATGCCCCTCTACAGGGGGAATCCTCAAGAACATGAAAGAGTCTGAAACATAGGTATGGGGACGATTTTCCGCTTGCTTTTGTGGCCATTGTTTCCGTCCATCATCCGCCTGCAGGAGGACATGCCCGACCCAGCACTTGGCATCCTACCACGCCTCAGCGTGCCAAGGGGCACGGTGGCGGATTTCGACACAGAATCGTACTTCGACTACCTCTTGGTCAACGGGCGGAAGTTCAGTGGCAGGCGCCGTCGTCCTCACGGGTTCACTCCGTCATCCAGCATTCTGTGGTCCTCCGATTCCACCGTGACGAGGCGCGGGTGGAGAATCTGCGAGCCAGATCGGCGCCTTCTGGAGGAGGCCCCGGAGCCCAACGTGTCCGCCCTGGCGCTGGCGGCAGCCTCCGAGCCCACGGAGGCGGAGCCCGAGGCGAACCTCGAGGCGAGCATCGAGGCAAGGAGGATGGTGGTCGGCACCCTTGCCGTGGCGGCGGGCGTGTCCCTCTGGGCTCTCTTGGTGCGGCACGCGCGGCAGAAGGGGGCACTGCCCCCCCTCCGTGGCGGCCTGGCCGACGGCGATGCCAAGGGCAGCGGGAGCAGCGCGGCCTACGTCGACGTCCACGGCGACACGGAGAGGGGTGAGGGGAGCAGGGCCCTCGTGCCCCTCTGAGAGTGAGGCGCCCAGGGCTGGTGGGGGCCTCTCCCTCGTTGGAGGGACCCGACGGGGCGCCCCAGGACGGCCCCACAGAATCCAGGGTCGCCCAGCGCCCGCACGCGTGGTGGTGGAGCTCTCGCGACCCTGCTCCTGCTGCTCCCGGGGGGGGTCGCGGGGGGGGCGGGGGGCCTTCTTTGGCAAGCGCGCCCAGCGCAGGGCGCCCCCGCGGTGATCGCCGGCGGTGCGCACGCGGCCGGCGGCGAGTCACCTCCGAGGGCCCGCGCGGGGCCCGCCGGCCAGCGGAGGCGTGGGGGAGGTTTTGATGCAGCACAGGCTCGCCAGTACGGGGGCCTTTGTTTTTGTCTGTTCTCTTTGTCTGCGTCGGTCGCGTGGCCGAGGCAAGGCAAGACCTCGGCATCGTGGGCGACTGGGGCAAGTTTTCCCTGCGTTGGCCTCCCACAGAGCGAATGGCTCCTTCTCTGCTGCGTCGGCGCGGCGAGAGGTCAGGGGGAGCTTCGCAGCGCCTTTCAAGCATGTGGCTGATCGTGCTGGGGTGTCGTGCCGCGAAGAAGAGGCATCCTCTTCCTGCGGTGGCAGGAGTGCGACTCGGAAGCAGTAATTCTGGTTTGTCAGTTGCTTGCGACGCACGCCTCATGTATTGGGCAAGCTCCAGGCGGCGTCTTCGCTCTGCGGTCAGCGTAATTGATTACTGGGCCGCTTAGTTGCCTCTGTCCCTCTGTGCTTCGTCTTTCATGTCCCCCTCGTCCTTTCCCACGCCAGCTCCTCGCTCCCTCCTGGACATCATGCTTCATCTAGGCAAGAAGGCTCACCAGTCAGCCTTATAGAGCGTTCCTGTTTGTTTCGTACAGGCTGTGTGCAGCCTGTCCGGACACACTGCCTATCCACACGGCGATATCATGGGGTCACTGTTCTCGAGAAGGCTTTTCGCGACAAGCGCGACGTCGTCTCAGGTGGCTGGCTGCGCCAGAGCATGTTGCCAGCAAAGATCCCTGCACGTTGTCAGCATGTGGCTGATCGTGCCGGTGCATCGTGCCGCAGAAAAGACAGGGGCATCCTCTGATAGCGGGGGCTTAGGTGCGCTTCGGAAGCGGTAGCTCCATGAACAGTACAGGGGAGCAGGTCGTTGGGGTACGGCTCGGAAGCAGTAGTTTGGCTCGACACTTGCTTGCGATGCACGCTGCGCGAACTTGGCAATGTGTACGTAGGCGACGTCTTCGCTTCGTGCCCAGTCCAGTCTAGTGTTGCTCAGCGTGTGCCAACCTTCAGTCCCTCCGTACTTCTTCCTTCATTGTCTTAGCGTTCTTTCTTACACCAATTTCTCAAGGCGTTTTGCGACAAGCTCGACGTCATCTCAACTTATTCAGACGCCGCGCCCTCGACACTCAGGAATCGCGCTTTCGCTTTGGCCTTTATCACGGTTTACTTTGGAATCGTGCTACCGCTTGAGTTCTCCTCTCGATTCATGCAATATTCACGCTTCAGCAACACGCCTGCTCGACCTGGCCGCTTGGGCCCGCCTTCCCGACCCGCCCATTGGGCTCTACCCACCCGATGAACCCGGCTGATTCTGCCACGTGTCTTCTGCTCCCCTAGGCGGGGGAGGGATCGAGGGAAGGCGCTTCCCTTCGACTCGATTACAAGTTGCTCGATTTTTGGATTGCTGGATTTGGTGACGATGTGGGTGAAAACCCATGGGAGGTGCGTTCGAGATTTTTGGTTTGCTGGATTTGCTGACGATGTCGGCGGAAATCCATCGGAGGAGTCTTTGAGGCGATCGTGCGCCTCGCAGAGAACGAAACAGCGGGGCGTGAACAGAAACTCATCTCACACACGCCGACAGGGTCGGCGGATTAGGACACACGGGCGGGGGAATGCATGCAAACAAGCAAGAAGCCAACATGTGGAACCGTGCGGGTTCGGAACGTGCTCGCTGTTCCTGAGGTCCCTCCATGGTTGTCCCTCTGGCGCTCTTCGTGCACCTAGGTGCTTTGGGGGCAAACGCGGGGCTTTGTATTTTTTGTAGCGTTCCTTGAGTGGGGTAAATTGACTGTGCACACATGGTCCCTGTGCTGACGTTCCAGGCTCACTGCCAGCGCCTGGAACGTGTGCTTTCGACGGAGACGTGCACGCAGGTAGCACGGGCACGCCGTTCGCGACACGTTGCGCCCGACGCATGCGAAACATGCGAGGTGAACATTTTTTCGTCGTTCGTCTCGCAACAGTGTGCGACCTATGCTGAGACCTCGTTTTCCCACCGAGTGCTCGCCTGTTCTGCATATGGGAACTCTCGTCGCCTCTCGACTCGCGCTGGCCCTGGTGGGCAACCAGCCAGCTCGGATGCCGTCAGTCGGATCTGGCTTCTGTCGGGGGGTGGCGGCGAAGAAAGGGGGTGCCGTCCAGGGGTGTGTGGATGTTCACGGTGGCCAGGGGGTCCGCTGAAGAAGCGCTCCTCCTACTCCCATCCATCTCCTGCTCCTCCTGCTCCTCCTGCTCCTCCTGCCACCCTTCCCCCCGGGACTCTCCCTCTGCCGGGGAAGGGACAAAGGGAAGGGGCTTCCCTTTGACGTAATGAGGACGTGGATGGAATTCCTTCAAGCTGCGAACCCGTTCCCCGAACGAGGAAGGGTGCTCTCTCTCTCTCTCTCTCTTTCCCCCGGCGGGAGAGGAGGATGGGAAGACGGGGACGAAAGAGGGCTCCCCGTTGACGGGACCGGGCAGACAACCCACACACGCCGACAGGGTCGGCGGATTCGGAGGAGGAGGAGGAGGAGCAGGGACACTCTTGGGGCCTCCTGGGAGCCTTCTGGGAGCCTCTTGGAGCTATTTTGGGGGACTCCTTGGGCCTCTTGGGGGCCTTTTGGGGGCTTCTCGGGCGCCTCTTTGACCGTCTTAGGGCATTCCCGGCCCGCCTGACGCCGTCGGAAGCCGTCTTGGGTTTTTTTTCTGGGCCGGCTTTGGGCCTGGGGTCCTCTCGGGGTTGTCCAGGGCCGTCTTGGAGGACATCTTGGGCGTCTTGGAGATCTTTTGGGCCGTGTTGGGGCCTCCTTGGGGGCCTCTTCGGCAGTTCTGGGGCCATCTTGGAGGCCTTTTGGGCCGTTCTGGGGCCATCTTGGAGGCCTCTTGGGCGATCTTGGGGCGATCTTTGGGGGCTCTTGGGCCGTCTCAGGTCGTCGGAAGGCCGAGGAGAAGCAAATACCAACATCGTCAAAAACAAACGGAACACTTCCTGACTGCCCTCTTGCAGGCCTTTTGGATCGTCTTGAAGATCTCTTGGGGGCCCCTTGTGCCGTCTTGGGCCATCCTGGAGCCATCTTGGGCCGTCTTGACGGCCTCCTGGCCCGTCTGACGCCGTCTGGAGCCGTTTTGGGGGGCCATCTGGGCAGAATTGGGGCCCTTTTGGGGTGCTCCAGGGCCGTCTTGGAGGCCATCTTGG